ACTTTATTGATTAGGTTATTTATCACTTTAATTGTTCTTACTCTTATGAGATGTAAGCTGCTAATTCTATCTTAAAATCTCATGAGTGTATGTCACATAATTCCCCTTTCTCGGCAGCCAGAAATGGTTCAATCTCCTTAAAAACTGTTTAGAAAGTGCTTTTACACACCAAAAAGTCTTGGAGAAAATGTCAAAACATTGGGCAGAACGGAAAGCTTGCTACCCCCTTTGCTGATCCTGGTGAAACTTTGTGTCATGTAATGTGAACAGAAGAACCAGACTGCTGTTCTGATGTTCTGTCTCCTTCAAAGGGTTATGTGCCGCATTAGCTTTCTGTAGAAAGGCATGATCATGGCAGCTAACACCAAAGCTCGCTCCTGAGATGCTGACTAAATAAGTAGGTAGGTGGTGTCACATTTTGTGTTGCTGTAGCTGTGTTATCACTGACACCTGAACTAGTTGGTTTTAATCTATTTTATGGCTGCTTATAAGAGCTACAGTCACTACAAAACAGTCTGACCTTGAGTTGGATTCAGTTGTAGGTCTGAGAGTCTAGTGAACTATTTCTGCAGCAGGAAACCAGAAAGGTGTTTGTGTAAATTTTGCCTGTGAATGTTCTTAAATTCCTAGATCTTTAGATGTTTTGGCACTATTCCTGGATTCACACCCTTCCAGCCTCAGTTTATAGTAGTGAAGGTCTGATTGTGCTGATTTGTGGTGCATCAGAACAGAGATGCTTCTTTTGTGCAGACACCCTCTTCCCCATACTGGTACTTTTTCTGTTCTATATACAGAAATCAACCCCTAGCCATTAGCGTTGAAAATGGGTACTGGATGCAGGGACCTGAAACAATAGCTCTGACAGATGTGATGGACCAATTCATTTCAACAGCACTAATATTGATACCTAGCTATACTGTAAATGCCAGTGCTGTTAACTATTTCACTGCTCATCAGAAGTGTGTTAGAGCAGGATTATAAACAGCTGACAAACCTACTAAGAACCAGAGCTTATTTGGTACCATCCCAGTCTTACCTTAATCAAGAAGGAGCCAATTTTCCCTACTGAGGCAGCAAGTTTTCCAGCTTTTGCTTTATTTTCCTCATCTGTTGTTGCCATTATTTTATTCTGATTAACAAGGATTAATAAACACACTGACACATACAAAGTTTATTAAGCTGTTGAAAATTAGAAGCCCATAAAGTTGATTGAAACAACCAAATCCAAGTGATGGGAACCTGTCACCATGGAGCCCAGATCTTATTGAGAATGTCTGCACTAAAAGCAGCCTATGACTTCTAAAATAGTCCAGGAAGAACAAATAGATTGTTCTGCAGCCAAAACCTGGAAAGGGTAATGTTTTGCTATGATGCTGTTGAGAGGTTGTACCACAGTGGTATGATATTGCCCTTGGGGAAGTGCCTAGCAGAAAGGGAAAGGTGACAACAAATGACAACAGAGCATCTGTATGGCTGAATTCTCCATAGGAAAATAGTATAGCTGCTAAAACAAAACGCACATAACTAGATTTTTGATGACTTATTATAGTCTACTGCACAGGGTTAAACTTTGAAACAGTATTAGACTAGGCTATCTGCTTTCCCTCTATACTTTCTATAGAGCTGTACAGTGTAATGATAAGCCAGACAAAGCTGTTGTTTTCTTTTGATTGTCCTTATTTGTAATGTGAAAAGACAAGCCTTATTTCTATTCTTCATGGTGCTGTTCAGTAATGCCTGTTTTGAAAGGGCTAGCAATAACGCAACAGAGAGTCACTGCAGATTTCCATCTCTGTGCTCTACCTCTGCCTTGATCAATTCTTCTCATACCTGTGTAAGAGGAGTTACTGTTTGCCCTTTCTTGCTGCTTTAGTACATAGGTATCAGTGAGGAAATTCATTACTAACCATGAATAGGAGTACTTGTCTTATTTCAGGTTTGTTTCTTATCTTTGATAAGATCTTATTTATGATCAGTGTTTAATTTTTTTTTTCTTAATTGATGCATTTGTAATACCAGGAAAATTCATATGGACCCCTTCCCCTTTTGATAAACCAGGAACAAAGAAGTAAAGTTACTAAATATGTACAGTGTCACAGTTGTAAGGCATGTGGTTTTAATTAAGTTTGAACTAATTCCCTTTATCTTGTCATAGTAATTACGACTGTACAAGTCATGTCACATTAATATGTGAAAGCAGCACTTTGGCATGGCTGGTCAATGAACAAAGCCTTTATGACCTGCCTTGTTAAATTGAACCAGAGAGACTGATCAGCTTGTATTTTGCTACCTTCTTTGATATATTATGTTAAAGATGAAGAAAAGTGCTAAAGGGCCAATACACAATTGTGCTAAATATTGCTGAACTACAGCAGCAAACAAAATGAGAGATTTTGAAGACTTTTTAAAGGCCCCAGGCTTTGATAGTGTAAAATGAAATGACATGAAGCAATGAAGTAGCTTAAGTGAATTCCTAATGCTTGAACAAATCTAAACTTTTATCGCTTTCTGTATGATGGAGTTGGATACTCTAGAGTTCCAACTAATTTTTCCATCTTCTGTTTAAGCAGAGAATCACAGTATATTAGCTACTCTCTACTACGGAATCAACCAGATACATACTGAGAAGAGCAAATGCAGTGTAGTCTTCTCAGCCATTAGTAGGGTATATATAGTCTGCTCCATTTGGAGAAAGTTACCATCACAGGAAGGTGGTTTGAAATGAATAATATAGTATAGATTTGTGTTGTAGCTCACTTTGCAGTAAGTTTCCTATATAGACAAGTGCTATCAGCAACCTTGTAGCTTAGATAAGTCATCTTGAGTTTTGGCTTCTGTACTGACATATGTTTAAACTTTATCAGGGTAGCAGTTCATCTCTTCCTTACAATGTGACGCCACACTCATAAAAACCAGGAAAGGAATGAATATATAACCTTGTGTCAAATTCTTCATGGGGATGGTCTGCTTCATCCGCTCACCTGCCACCTTCCATACACACTTTGAAGGAGCAAAAGAAAAATGCCATCTTTTTCATGCTATGCCAATAATTACTGGAGGGGTCCCTCACGACCCTTCTGACTGTGTTAATCCTTATCTTTTAAAGTCATTTTCATTATAAATAACTGTAGTTCTGCTTCTGCTGTTTTAGTATGAAGCTGCTGTAGGGACAATTTTTGAAGACTCCTGGCTTCATTCTTAGCTGTGGTCCGTGGCCTTTTCATAGCAGAGACTTTAATCAGTTTTGAAATTCAGCCCTCTGTTCCATGAGGAATATGCTGAATAATAGCAGCATATCATTGTCACAACAGCTTGCAGGCAGATTCAGGGAGACAACCCTGTTTTCTTTTCACATACCTGCATATATTTCTTTCCAATATCTTGAGACCCAAAAGGACCAAAAAAATATTTTTCTTTTCCAAAGACATGGAGGAAAAGGGTATGCTTTAGGTCCTGTATCTCTGTGAACAATCACTGGTGGATGGTATTTTTCAAAAAGAGAACATAGATTGTGTAGGAAATTACAATGTGACTCCATCTTGCTACATACAAATTTTAATGTTACATACTTAAGTTTTACATACTTCTAGTAAAAGCATTGCAGGCAAAGATGGGTGGTCTGACTTTGGAAAGTAAATAACCATGAAAATGAGAACTAAGAATAAAAGGCTTACTTATGAGTCTGGAAAAGAAGTTGGAGGTAGCCACCTGTTTGTCCACATCAGTATTAAGAAGGTGCCTCTAACTGACATGCCACTGAAGTGAAACAGAACAGCAAGCAGAGTGTTCAGGAGTTGCAAGATCATTTCATTACAAAACATGCAAAGACCATAGAATTCAATGGAGGAAAATACAGTAATTTGGAGACACTGGTGTTAAGCTTTTCAAGGACACTGAGAAAACAAGTGACCGATGTGAACTTCCGGAAAGTTCCACTAAGCGTTTCAGTCAGCATTTCCTAAAGCATAAGACACCAAGTACCTTTCAGCTGCAAAATAGGCACTGATCTAGAAAATTTGTTTCAGTAAATTAGTAACACAGGAAAGTAAGCTTACACTTACTTTGACAAGAGACCTATTTTATCGTCATGCGTATGTTGGGGCATGGACCTATTTTAAAAAATGTCTAATCAGAAAATATTTATTCAGAGTCCTGTATTTCCTCTGTAGCTCATTTAGGAGTTAAATGGCTTAAGGGCAAATTTTGCAGTGGTCCACAGAACGACTGGATATTTTTAGTGAATTAACTCAGGAGAATTTACAAAGCTCTGAATTCTGACACCTTCTACTGGAACTAATTGTAATCATAGCTCTTTACTAAGTTTTCAGAACAATATACATAAATATCATCCTTCATCTCTCAGACTTGTTCTCTACCTCTATATTCCCAATAAACAAGACATAGCAAACTTGCATATTTATTGATGTAGCTGTTTATTGCTCCATAATCTGCAAACAGGAAGCACCTGGGAGATTAAATCTCAGAGTAGGTTGTTAAGAGGGCAAGAAATGTGAGAACCTGACAAATTAGAAGGCAGAAGGTGAGTGGTGGTATACTGAGGCCATATAAGGCATTGGAATTATGAATCAAGCTGGTGACTGGCAGGTTTCTTGCTTGGCTATAGGAGTGTGATGAAAATTAGTGGAAAGTAGTGATTCAGAAAACATGATTTAGAAATGTCTCTGCTTGTGAAAAGGGAAGGCTTGACTACATCCTGGATGTGTCTGAGAATGCATCTTCTAGACTTTTGTAAGTCAAACTTCTGGTGGTTTTATACTTGCTTATTGTTAATCAGGATGAAAAGATATGGAAGCAGCTTTTTGATCTCCAGATAATTATTTTCCACTAATTATTGAAATATGGAGGTTTGTGGTTAGAATATGACACCCTTTTGCTGTTGGAAAAAATATATTTTTAGGATAGTTTTCAAAAGCACCCATATAACTGTTAGGATTTATTTTCTTTTTTAGGCTAGAGTTTTTAAGTGAATAGGCTTTTTAACTGTGTTTCAGCTTGCTTTCTATTAAAGAAAGATTTTTCACCAGCTGACCCTGCATTAATCTAAGCAATGAAAGACTTTAATCAGATGCTGCAGTGTGCCCATTTCCTGCAGGCTTCTAACAAGAATTGGAACCTGCTGGAAGCAGAAGCTGACTTTCTTGGTAAGTTTTTGTTCAAAGTGAGCAGAAGATTTCAGGAGTGGCAGCTTGTATTCCCCTGCAGGAGCTGAACCCCTACTTCACTAGAGCAAAAAATAATGCAGAAACACAAACTGAAATCAAAGGTTAAGGGATTAAAGCCTGACAATAAAAAGGGGGGCTGAGGGGGGGTATTAATGCAGGTTTGATGGACCCTGCTCTTTAGAATCAGATGCCTTTTACTTCAGACACTCCTACCTGCTTGCAGAGCTTGGTGGTATAGACTGCCTGCAGTGAAAGGTGCTCCAGCATTCCCTGCTTCTACCTAGATAGCCAAAACAGGCTGTTTGCCTTAATATTAATCTTTTCCATCACAGAACAACTAATAGTTGCTTAGCCTTACCTGCTCCCAAATAAATGATTCAGCTAATCATCTGAATCCCCAAAAGAACCCAAACTCATCTCTAGAAGTTAGGGAATCTGAATTTTGAGTAGTCTATGTTCCGATCAGTATTATTTTCATTATAGTTAACATTCTCTGCCCACCCTCCATAAAAATCAGTGAATGTATTCCTTTGTAATATATTCGAAGGAAAAAAAGCCCAACCTGTATTTTGAAGGGTTTTATGTGCTAGTGGCATTATAAGATTTATTTTTTCTTTGGAAGAAGGAAAACAGTATACAGTTCCCTAACATCAGCTCTATCCCAGTGCATTTCACTGGTCCTCAAAACGAAGAAGATTTGTATTCCCAGTCCCCCACTTGAAGCAATATTTGTTGAATAACACCACCCTACCCCTTCAGAACAACCACAGACACAAAACACCCCTCCCAAAACCCCTCAGATTTTACAGCTTGGAGATTAGTACACATAAAATAGACATTGTTGAGTCTAGCCAGTGTCAGAAAAAAAATGGTGGAACCAAGGGTAAGAGATGCAGAAAGAGCACTTGTGCCTGTAAATTTAGTGGAAGGGAAATGGCAATAACAATATTCTAATTGCAAGATATTCCTTTTAATTTGCAAGTGCTAGCACTGGAGCTGGTCAAAGACTAGCCTAGAAAAAGCCCCTCCTTGCATGTCCTGCTTACTCAGCTCAGTGCAGCAGCTGTTCCAATAAGCAATTTGATGTTTAGCACCTGAGAATTTGCTCTCTCCTTCAGCCAGGATTGCAAGCTCAACAAAATGTATAAAAGCATGAAGTTTCATAACTCTTTCTCCCTAATGCAATAGCCATAGAAAATCTGGGTTATGGTGCATTCATTAGCTTTTTAGTAAGATTAGTTTTTATATTTTGAGGCTTTCTTTTTCTTCTCAACACGATGAAATCTCTTCTGTGTGTCCAAAAGGAAGTATTTAAGAGAAAATGAAGGGATGGGGGAAGAGGGACAGGGGTGCTTCCATTCATCCCAAAACTACCAGTCAGATGCCAGCACTTGTAATGAATGCAGAATGCAGAGCTACTTTAGCCACTCCAGCCAGTGAGTTGGATTTATTCAAAGCTTGGCTCAGATGCCTCTATACAAATGCCTGTATTGTGGGGAATAAACAAGAGGAATTAGAGATGTGTGCACATCTATGGGAAATGATATCATTGGTATCATTGAAATATGGTGGGATGGATCCTATGACTGGAGTGCTGGAGTGGAAAGTCATAGGCTCTTAAAGAAAGACAGGCTGGGCAGATGGGGAGGGGGTATAGCTATTTATGTCAATGATAGGCTAGAGAGTATGGAACTCTGGCTGGAGACGGGTGATGAGCCAACAGAGAGCTTGTGGGCCAGGATCAAAAGGAGAACAGCAGTAGGGGACATTACTGCGGGGGCCTGCTACAAGCCACCAGCTCAGGAGGACGCTGCGGATACAGCCCCCTATAGGCAGATAGGAGCAGCTTCACGTTCACAGGCTCTTGTCCTCATGGGACTTCAACAACCCTGATACCTGTTAGAGGGATGGTACAGCTCGGCACAAGAAATCAAGGAGGTTCCTCAATTGTGTGAAAGACAACTTCCTGTTGCAAGTGACAGAAGAGCCAACAAGGAGAGTGGCCATTTTGCTTACGCAGCAGGGAGGGGCCTGGTTGGGAATGTGATGCTCCAGGGCAGCCTTGGCTGCAGCAATCATGAGATGATGGAGTTCAAGATCCTCAGGGCAATGAGAATGGCACGCAGCAAGCTCACTGCCCTGGACTTCAGGAGAGCAGACTGTGGCCTCTTCAGGAGCCTGCTTAGTAAATTTTCATGGGATAAAGCCCTAGAGGGCAGGGGGAGCCAAGACTGCTGGTTGGAACTAGGTGATCTTAAGGTCCTTTCCAACCCAAACTATTCTATGATTCTAAGAGTATTAAAGAAAGAAAGGGCTGATTCTTACCTTCTGATAGCTTCCCAAAGAGAAACATTCGTTGCTTGTAGCCTGCAACTAGCAGGTAACTATTATATGCAGATAAAAATGATGGAATAGAAGATTTGTCTTCATTGTCTTTTCCAATGTATTTATTTCTCACGTTTTCAGAACCTTAAGCTCACATAAATTAAACCTACTGTTGAGTGGACTTCTCTGCAAGCTGTTAGGTTTACTCTTCCAGTTTTGCCAGCTCCAGGATGTATTGTATAAATCTAACTGTATTTATCTCAAATTCCTGGAGTCATGTGACATATTTCTTTGTCATTACTGCATCAGAAAGGTTGATTTAAACACATCACTTAGAAAAATACATACTTCTGGTATAAAAACAATATTTTATATTTTGTCCATATTGTATTAATTCTCTCCAAAGAATGGCATTGCTTCCCTAAATCCAACACACTGTCCACCAATTCCATCTTTTCCTGGTTACAGTTTTAGGGTAGTTCTCTGCTGCTTCTATCCAGATTCCTCGGTAATGTGATAGCTCAGCTTGTCTCTTGGGAGCTGCGATTCCTGGGAGTTGGAGGACATCGCCTGAGAAACAAGTAAGGTTCTGTGGAAAGTACGAGATGTCAGAGAAGCTCCACCAAAGAACACCTTCAAGTGTGGTTAGATCCTTCTTCTCAAGTGGATGTCCTAATAAGTCTGAGTACAGAAGAGAGCTCTGTTTGTTGCCAAGCATTAAGTATCTGTGGGATGGGCAGGGTCTGAAGGAGGAAGAGGTAAATGAGGAGGGAAAAGACTGTGTTAATCTCTCACTGGATGCAGCAGTTATTTCTCAAATGTTGCATTGCTTTTTATCTTAACTGTTTAGCAGTCATGAGAAGTACAAAGTTACACCATGAACGAATTCTGATGGGAATGAGAGCATAAAAACTCCGGTAATGTATCATCAGTTTCTTCTATGATTTACTGCTAAAAAGGAATATTTCAGAAGCTTTACAAGCAAGAAGACATTGCTGTCTGCTCTGTGGCTGTTGCTCTCAGAAAAATCTTAATGTGCACCAGAAGAGATCAAAGCAAACCCATCCTTGCATTCGAATAAAAAGATGGGTTTGGAGCTTGACAACTGATTTACCAGGATTAATTAGATTACTGGGCCTGTGTTCTGTGGGGCTCTAAGGCACTGTGGAGAAAAGGTTTGAAAGCTGAAGATGAGGTTCTCAGTGATGGCTGGGTGTGTGCAAATGAAAAATGGAAACCAAAGAGAAGGTGAAAAGAGACCTGATGTTGCTACCAATGTGGGTGGAACTAAACAGAGATTAGGGACCAAACTATGCAGGATCTCTTTCTCTCTGAAGAGAGATTAAGAACTCTTTATCATCCAATTCCTGTCAGTCCCCATGGGCTTTCTTGATATGTGAGGAAATTTATATTCATTTCCTCAAGACAAAGACTTGGTTAGTTTTTCATCAGAAATAAGTTGCAAAATGCATATAAAGTACCTTTTTCTTTCTCTTTCCTATTGGAAGATATCACAGATGTGTAATTTGCTTGAAATTCTTCTGTCTTCTGTCTCCTCTCTAGATTTCAGTGAGAGTTTGCTTTTTCAATTGATTTTGTCACAGGAGGCACTTTCTGATATGCCGCCTGTAGCAAAGGACTACTGTCTGAGAGGGGGGCGATTCTGAGAGAGAATTTGGAAGCCAAGATTTTTTATGTTTGGAATTATTTTAGAACAAAAGGGCAACAAGAATTTTAGAACAAAAATTGTCTTCTGTATTTGTGCACTTTTAAGTCTGATATTCCTGAATGTCTTTGCTTGAATGGTATAAGACGGTCCCAAAACAAGAATCAGAACAGTATGTGTTAGCACACTTGTTTATATGTGTTATCTGAGTACTGATAAATGTGGTATTGGGACAAAATTTCATAGACTTGGTCCTACCTAATTCTGGACATTTTGTTTTTCATTTGTGGCTCGTTCTATTCTTCTTCCTTTGTCTTGTCTATTCAGACTATAACTTTCTTGGAGGGGATTATCCTTTATTATGATGATTGCACAGGGATGAAGCTATCAGAAATCCATTTCTCTTGAGGGTTTTCTAGACAGTGCTGTTAAAAATGAAGTCATCTAGCATTCAGGTACAGTCTGGTTTTACTTCTTCAGTGCCTTTGGAGACAAAAGCATTTTATATCTATATGCAGGTAACAGTCTTTGAAATTTTGTGGATCTCATTATTAATTCCATGGACATGTGTGTGCTACCTGTATGTTCAGTGTTTTGTGGTCATGAAACATTAAAAATACAGACTGTTGTAGAGAGGGTTGTCAGCTGAGTCAGGCAATACAAACAACACAGGCAGTGTATTCACCAAGGATGGAAAGTTCCTTATACGGGGGAGGGGGAGAAAGGGAGTGTTTAGTTAAATTAGTTGAAATGACAACATGTTTGGAATGAAATGTGATTCAATGGCTAATTAAGATTAATCAAATGGGCATGACATGCCTTCATCTGGTAATGAGGTTTATGCAGATGTGTACTGTTTTCTCTGTACCATTGATCCCAAGTACGCATCACCAGCTGAAACATGTAGAATTTGGTATTAGAATTAGCTCTAACCTCACTGGTTTGTTGTAAAAAAAGTTTACTTTTGTCTGAAACTAAACAGCTACTCAAAATTGCAGGGAGGAGCTGCTGTTTATCTTAGGAATCTCCTTTCATTTTCTGCCTGTGCCAATTCTAAACTTGAAGTTCTCTGTGTGTGCGCATGGTGCCAGATGACACGGGTTAAATGTCAGCACTGTAGCAGTTAACTTCATTTAAGGGACCTCTAGTAATGATAGCTATTGATCCACTGGTCAACATAGCTCAAAGGCAAGATCAACTTCAATGCTTTTCCTTTCTCCTGCCCTCTCATTTACAGTAAAGTTGCCCTTGGACATCACTTTCACACTTGAGGATGAAACCTACTTATTGGTAAAGCACCCTGTGCACTTATCAGATTTTACTGCTGTATTATTGTTACAGATTTGCACCTGGAATTTTCACAAGAATAAATTTTTAATATGACTTGAAAATATCCACAAGAATTGTTCATAACACTTCAGATGCACGGATCTTACCCGTAGGTAAAATGTTGTGTAGAGTTAAGGTGCTTATATGTTCAATATGGGATAGGTGCTAGTAGAAAAAAGAAGATGTAGAGTGTTATTACAAAATAATGACTAAGTAGTTATGCTGTATAGACTCACAGTATTTATGTTGATTACCATAATATTACAATATTAAGTTTTTTTCAACTTTATAAATATTTTCCAAAGTGAACTGACAGATAACTCAAATTGACATTTGGTTTTTAAAGAATCCAGAGTGATCCTAAGTAAACCAACAGGCTTTGGTTCTTCATTTTATGAAGCACATTAAAACTGAATTAAAAGTGATTTTCCTCTTGTGTGTTGTGTATGTATGGATGTGTATATTATGTATTATGCATATATAAAGAAAAGTGTACTTAATGGTTTAAATAGTGATGGACAAATTAATGACAAACCCCACCCAAATCCACCATCACTCTGTTTCTCAGCAGCAAATATACGGATGCCCAAGGGTATTTTAGAAAAGTAACATTACATGTTTTGATGCTGTTGGCTACAGTCAGAATACTGACAGGACTAGACAGATCTCTAATGTAAGTGCTTTTCACCATTATTCCGGAAGGTGAAATATAGCCCCCTCACCCAGCAGATGGAAATTAAGCCAAAACCAACATAGTTTCAATGAACACCTACTCTTAAGACCAGAGAAACAAACATACTGGGAATTTCGAGACATTTGCTTGGCTGGACTAGGGAAGAAAATCTGAGAAAATATCATAGAATCATAGAATGGTTTGGGTTGGAAGAGACCTTAAAGATCATCTAATTCCAAAACCCCTGACACGGGCAGGCGCACCTTCCACTAGCCTTCTACAGGCTGAAGAAGCCCAACTTTCTCAGCCTGTCTCCATAGGAGAGAAGGTCCAGCCTGCTGATCATCTCTGTGGCCTCCTCTGGAGTTTCTTCAGCAGGTCCACATCCCTCTTGTACTGGGGCTCCCAGAGCTGAGTGCAGTACTCCAGTGGGGTCTCATAAGAGCAGAGTAGAGGGGCACAATCACCTCCATTGACCTGCTGGTCACGCTCCTTTTGATGCAGCCCAGGATAAGTTTGACTTTTTGGGCTCCAGGTGCACACTGTTTGCTCCTGTTGAGGTTCTACTCAACCAACACCTCAAGTCTTCGCTTGGGGCTGCTTTCAATCCATTCTCTGCCCATATGCTGTATTTGTGTTTAGGATTGACCGCCCCCCCCCCCTTTTTTTTTTCCCCCCATCTTAATCTTGAAAGAAAACACAAATTATGAAAATCTGAATCTATTTTAAATTTTTCTACCACTAAAATAATCTTCATCATGGAGTGAAGTCTGCATGTGGAAGCAGAATCAGCTGTTTATATGGTTAACTGGAGTAATTCAGAAACTAATCGCTGCTGAATGATTTTCATCTTGAATGCTTATTATACAGTTTGAAACTTAAAAGATTCGAATGGTTATTTTTGCTAAATCCTGCTGAATAACAAATGTTGTATGTAAAATCATTATGCTAAATAATTGTTGTAAAAGACAAAAATATCTATCAAACAGTAAAAAATGTAACCTGTTAATTTCAAAAGGTTCCTGCACAGGACTGCCTGGAATGCAGTATAACATCTGTAAATGCTTTGAATGCCTGGGACCCCTTCTGAGAACAGACATGGACTTTGTCCTGGAAAAGCCTTTTTTATTTAAAATGTGACATGGAGAGACAAATCAAGTGAGAGAGAAGGATGATGACTTGTAATTTTGATTGATTAATATGGTAAGCATGTCAGAATGTCCCGTGGAGCCACACAGTGCCTTAATGAAGGATTAATTTATACTGAGCCATAAACTAAAGATAAAAAAAATTGCTGTGAAATGCTAATAAAAGTTTTCTTCCAAAGTTTCCATGTTCCATGGCTGAAGAGTGATTAAAAAGTTGAAATGGAACGGAAGAAAGAAAATAATGGAAATCCAAAATAATGCAAAACCAGAGCTGTCAGTACTAAGGATGCTAATGACCTTACTGCTAAGTCACCAGCTTGCAGATCCCTTGTACTTCCTAAATTTTTCCTCTTCTGTAAAGATCCCATCAAAACAAATGGTTTTGAGCTAAGGTGAGAGTGGGGTTAATAATCTGATCAAGAAAGAAGAGATAAACCTCAGTTAAGCTAAGATTCAAAAGAATAAATCTAGGGATCAACACTATGGTGACTAACAGCAGAAAATGGTCTCCCTAAAAGGGAGAGAAGTAGTATAGACTTCGGCTGTAAATGCTGGCCTAGCATTTAACCAGACTGAAAAAGAAAACCAGCCTCAAACTAATTGATCTGGAGGGGTAAAGCTTCATTTATTAAGAAAGCCCCAGTGTCCCCAGTAAAAAACCCCTCAGTACTCAATCAACAACTCAGCTGTTGGCTGTAAAACACAAGGAACAGATGATTGCGATTGCCAGTATGTTTCAAACAGAGTCAGGAAAGGCGCTGTAAAAAAAGCCCGAAGTAGCAGAGCTCGTAGCTTGTTTTTGTCTAAAAGAGAAGAAATTTAAAGAGAAACTAAAATAAAAAGTCAGACGTAAGAGTAAAACTGCTGTGTTTGCAGTATTTAGTAATGTTGGGTGCATTTGTCCTGTAAGAACAGGAGCTAAAACCTCTCAAACTAAAAAATATTTATAAACAGCAGTTCTTTCAGAAATTCCAATACAGAGATATATCTTGAATTTTTTATCTTAACGTCAAAGCCACTGTTGCTTATGTGGTATGAGCTATGCATTCCCAATGGTAGCTTGAGCATCCATTTGCATTCATGGGGTCAGTAATGTCTCTGCCTGTTTGCTTTAGTAGACGCAAAGAGAAATGCTAATAGATGGGCTTAGCAAATGTTAACCTTACAAAATGCCTTGACATACACAAAAATGATTTGGTGCTTGACCCTATAATGTAGTCTGGACATGAAGTATTGTATTAGCCAAAAAAAAAAAAAAACAAAAAAACCCCTACATTTTGCTGCTGCAAAGTGAACTGTGTTTGAAAACCACTGAAACTGACCCAAGACTTGGCTCAATGCACTGTGGTCTCAAGGGGAGTATGTGTTGCCTGGTAAACTGAAGCAAAAGCACTCATCCTTTAACTATTGACCTTCTGAAATGCAGCATGGTTATTCTCCAAAAGGTTAATTACTTTCAAAGAATGAAGTGGGTTTTATTTTTTTTTCTAACAGTTCTAAAAATGAGAACCTTCGTAAAGAAGACTGTCATGAGACCAGTCTCTCTGAATGGATATGGGCATTCTGGCACCGAAGCATCAAAGGGCTATACCTGAGGGCTGTGTGGGACAGTTTCTTGCTGGCAGAACAGAGATTGGCCTCTGAGAGGCAAACAAGGAAAGACGACCAGCTGAATACTCTGTGTCAGGAAATTACTCACTTCTGTGCAGTAATCTGCTTTCTTGTCTTTGTCCCTCATATTAGTGCACTGGATTTTTCAGAAACATCTCTGGGACTAAAGTAATTTGTTTGTGACCTTTTTTTTTGAGAGATAGCTGACTTTGTTCACACTTCTTCATGGAAACCAATAGGAGACTGTTCTATTAAGTTCAGCTGCTAAATATACTGACTTCTTAATATACTTCATAAAATGGAGACATTACCAGTGACATCAGGAGATGAGTGATCTCTGGATCCTTTTGGTTCCTGTGTGCACTGTTAAAAAAAGGAAGTATTTGGCCTGGCAGCCACTTCAAATTTCTTTCTCCTTCCCTGTTTAAATCAGACCTGACCTCTCTAAAATAGATTGAGCAGAAGAAAACAGGCACTGCTGCAGCCTGGCTGGGGAAAATCAATGTCTTCTTGACTATGGGGGGGGGGAGGAGGGAAAGGGGGGGAAGAAAAAAGAAGAAAATAAAAAGAGGAAAAAGATAAAACAAATAAATAAAACCAACTCCCAAACCGTCCTGTGACTTTGAGTTTCACAGCCTTTGCCCAGCTGGGCAGCCATAGGGTAGAATTTGCAGTACCACTTTTGGGAAAGGTCCAAGCACTGGGACTGCTACTGAAGGAAGAACTTCCTCATTGGGGGCATCCTCCACAGCTGCACATTCAGGACAGCAGCATTAAAGATCTTTTTTTTTAACATGAATATGTTATTAATTCAAAAATACCAGATTGAAAAGAAGGATCTCCTGTAGTTAACAAAACAATTGCCTGAACTATAAAACTTGCAGTATTTTGGTCTTAATTAAACCAGTTTTTACTTTATAGAGATTCAGAATTATAGTGTCTTTTTCTTTTTGTTTGTTTTGCTTGTCTGTTTATGTTAACATATCCCAAACCTGACACTGAAGCACATGTAAAGGCTGGGGATAAAAGGTCTTGGCTGTGGAATGAACTTTCAGGAGATTAGGTGAACTGAAAATCTGACCATCTTTAAGAAAGGCTTTAAAACCAGAACATCACTCACAAAACCAAGCACTCACGCTTCTTAATAATCATAATTTTCTAAAATCTCAACAAGAGCAGAGCTTTTCCACAGCCTGAACAGACAGAAGGGCCAGAAATTCCACATGGTTTACCAGAGACATCATTAACGCTGATCTGTTTTCTGTAGAAACATTCACATTCTCCAATGGTTGGTGACAGTACAAACACTGAGATCAGAGGAAGAGGTTTTTTAATGCAATAAGAAGTTTTATTTTTTTTATTGGCTTGCCTTTTAGTACAAACTCTGTAGGCTTTCACAAAGACTGATCACTTACAGCATAAGGGAGGCTGAAGCCTTGTGCTGGATGAAATAATTTTGAAATGTCTGACTCTGATACATATAAAAAAGACAAGAGTCTGATGACTTTTTTATAGAATTATTTTAAGCAGAATTACGTTTTCTTAAATATTTTATAGCAGGAAAGTGAAACTGAATGTGAAAAACATTTGGCTTAGAGCCAAGTCCTTTCTCCAGGGTCATGGCTTTATAGCTAAACTTAATGTAGAATTATTTCATGGATGCCGGGAAAAAGAATCCTTCAACTTGCTGAACAGCAGCAAAATTATTCTGTACTTGTAACCTCAGGCTTCTGCTGCAGCTCTGTGGAAGTTAATATGTGCTGGACCTGCTCTTGCCTCCCATTGTCCTCTCCTGCCCACCCCACCTCAGCACAAGATCTGATGCAAAGAAAGTTCAAAGGAGGATAATGAGGCAATTTTGCAGATGCTTAATGGCACTGCTCCAAGTGTGGGCAGTAGCATGGAAAAAATGCAAAGGTGTTTATTTGAAAAGATACCAAATAGGCAGGATAGACTGATCTAATGGATCAGGTCCATTTGCCATCTCAGCTGTGAACTGAAGACTGGGGAAGTGGTGATGGAATGGTGTGCATCAGACAGTGTGTCAGATAAAGATGGAAAAAATATTGCATAATGTCTAATATCACATTTAAAATAATATGACCAAGCTTCTAACTGAGTTGTGTTAAGGAGGAAGAGAAGGTCCTATCTAGTTCAGCTGAACTCTACAGCCAGTCCCTTAGTAGGGTAACAAGTAGCTTCATATTAATTTAACAAATAACCCCATTAGAACTGCAGGATAAGCAAGTACAAAAAATTAAAAAGCTAAGGCAGACCTCCAAAGAGCTTTGAGATTAGCTGGTATGTGTGTGCATGTATGTGCATTTATATGAATTTTTTGCATGTGCTTCCAGAGTTTAGATATATCGGTTTATTTTGGTGTGCCTTTTGATTTTGAATATCTCTGTCTAGCTCCCAAGTGCTGGTCTTGTAGGTTTATCAGCCATTTTGGTCTGCCTGATGTTGTGAGCCTTCCAAAAGTATAATTAACTCTGTGCCTCTCCCAACCTGCAGATCATTGCAACAGAACTGACATCTGCCTGTCCTCAATCCTGGTGCCCATTCTGAGAGGATTGAAGCTTCCCTTACTACAGACAAACAGCGTAGGTCCCATATTAGTTCCATCTTTAGACCCAGAAGATCTTACATTCTGCTTTCCAATATATTAATTTCTCTGTTTCAGTAGTTCCCCTTTTCAGCTTCACCATTGCCCTTCTTTCAGGCCCTGGGTTTCTCCAGTTCCTTGAAAAGCCTTAAAGTGGTTGGCTCCTCAAGCTCTCCATAAAGCCTGACTTTAGAGAGGGCAGGAGAAAGGACTTTATTTCTCAACAAAAACAGACAAAGGTGGGAAGAGAACCTTAAAACGCTGAGCTGCTTCTGCTGTCTGATACGGTCTGTCCTCCAGTGAGAAACGCATCAGCCTCTGGAAGGTTTGTTTGGAGAGGGTAACTACACTAACCTTGTGCATCAGACCTGCTTCTCTGCTTGACTTGTCATAAATTCCCATCTATCCCTCCAGTTATCAGCAAAAGTTTTGCTAGGTTTGGAGCTTTTCTTACAGCTAGATTAGTTTGTCTCTGCCTGAGCTCGCACAGGAATTGTTGCGGAGTTCTGGAGCCTTTATATGGTATGAGATCTGTGTTAAAGCCCAGTAAAACTTCTCAGTTTTACAGGGCATGGTAGAGCTTTCAAAAAGGAGATGCAGCTCAGGAGGAGCTCAAGATCTGTCTGTAAGGCATTTTGTTATGTGGACACTTTTGGGTGTACTAAGTAGAGCAAGCAAACCTACATTTAGAGAGAAGAGCTGAAAAATGTCAGTCAGTCTTAATTGCTGTATATTTTCCTGTGTGTAAGAACAGCAGAGTTATTACTGCAAGAGCAAAACCATTTCCTTTTCTGATAAACAAAGCAGGCATAAGCTAAAGGAAAATCATTAGGTGGCCCAACCTGTGTAATGTTAGATTTGTACACATTGTGTACATCAGATGCACACTGCAGGGGTATAATGTGGTGTATTTAAGCAGCAAGCATTGTCACAAGACTGCCCACAGTAAAGAACTTCAAGGAGTCTAGAGATGCAGTAATATGCAGTTGGATGAATAGCTCAGTAGTTACACATATGGAATAAAAAGTGATCGTAAGTGGAGCTATTTCAATTTAGGTAAAGTATTAAATGGGGTTCCAGGGGATCAATACTTGAATTTGTCCTGTTTCTAATCTATAAAAATGCCCTAGGTGAAAAACCTAACTGCAAACTCATACAGTTTTCGGTGAAATAAACATAGAAGAAGGTGGAGTACAGAACAGTCAATGAGCAAATGTAACTTTGAACTAGGTCAGCATATAGCAAACAGAATCTGTTAAAGAATATATAGCCAAGCAGATGGGATTTCAGCGCTGGGTAAATCTTGACAGGAATAGAACTGTATTTGGTTAAGAAAAATTTAGAAAGGAACACAAATGAATTGTGGTAGAAGGCATGAAGAATCTGGTCAATCTGGTCATGTAGGTAGGCTGAAATGTGGGAGATTGGCTCTCAAAGTATAGTGGCAGAAAGTAATGTTTCATCTCCAGCAAAGGAAAGCAAAAACACTTGCAAACTCCAGGCACTTTTGGAAAAAGCAATTCCAAATTAATTTAAACGTGAAATCTGATCCAGCTTACTCTGCACCCTGGAGAAAGCTGGGGAAGTCTGAGATGAGTGCTGGCAAAATCTGCTGCTGACCAATTTAAAAAACCTCCAGTGATCTGTCCCGAAAACCCGAGCCAGAATCAGCTGTATTCACAATGCCTTCCAGCACACCCTAGCAAGGGGGCTTGGAAGAAACAAAAGGAAGTGTCAGAATGTTTATCTCAACATTTAAAAGTATTACATAAACCAGCTTTCCCTGGGGATTATTCACCTTACCCAATTTGCTTATGTGCCTTGCCAAGTTAATACTTTTCCTATTTGTTATTTTTGTTATATGGATTTATATTTCTGTCATTTTCCTTTGTGTTAGTTGTAGCTCTGTCAAAAATTGCCCTGAGTTTGCAGTCATACACTTCTGCTGTTTTCCCTCAGTTTAAAACGTAATCTACATAAACCTAAGTATCTTTTATGTGATCAAACTCTGTTTCCAGATACAACTGGGTATTGACTGCAATTCATACATGAGTATGAAAAAAATTGTTGGGCTTTTTATTGTTGCACATGCATATGAGCTTTCATGTTTTTATGTTTTTAATATGTTACTATTACAATAACCTCTTACATCATGAAAATATTTGAAATAAATTATATTCATTTCCTTCTACCAGCAGTTCTTGTTCAGCAGGTGGTAAAAATGCTCCATTTTTACATATCTGCTCCTTACTAGGTAACTTAGCTGTAAATAAGGTATGATCTCGATCTTTCTCTCTCTTTTATTTCTTCTATTTTTAAAACAATGCACAGTGTGTGTACTCACTCTGTTACCTGATTTTCTCTTCTATGCCCAGAACAATGTGTCTCTTGGGCTCCTCTTTTGGCTTCTGTCATAAAGTAAGAGAAACGTTCTACAGGCAATGGAATTATTTGTGTTTTGTTTTCTGGGGTGAATTTTGTCTCAGATTGGTTCAGACTCTTCTTTAATCTTTGTGGCTGCTCATTACCTGCTTGATGAGACTGAATGCAGTATGAGTTTTTAACATGGAAACAATTCCTTCTTTTGCACTGATGTTATTGCAATTTCTTTCTCACCCATGTGCTTAGTGCTTAGTTCCCTCCCCAGAGGGAACAGTCATTCCTGTAAGCTGTATTTTTCACCTATTTATGTTCTATTACCTGTTTCTAACTACTCCCTGGTGCATGGGCTGGGCTGATGAACAAGAAAAGGATGTCCTGCTTGATTAAAATTGGGTTATAGACTATTCACCTGTATAGGAGCAGTGAACTGGCAGAGGTGATGTTTTCTTGTCAGCAGCCCATGTTGCTGGAGCTTGCAAACTACTGTGAGTGATAAAATCCATTTCATTTATTTAATTCCATCTCCTACCTCTTTCTGGTTTTGCAGCTTACATTAACTGTCATAATGGGTATTAACTTTG